AAATCTTCAGCGAGATCCTCAGCTATATTCGTTGTCTTCATCGTCCTACTAGTCGGCGCGTTGGTCTCCACGCGCTTGCTCGACACCACTGTAAGTATCCCTAGTAATAAATTTAATACTACTACTACCATAAAAAGTTTCCTGCATTCTTTTGTTCAGCACGAAATTGACCCCCCTCTATTCGCGCATTAGAATACGAGTTTATGTTACCCAGAAAACTCTTTTTCTCATGTAGAAGCAAACAAAGTCCAAACGACGTGGCTCAGGTAGCCAGATACGCAGTTAACAAGTAGGCAATAGTCTTCTTCTTCTTCTTTTTCATCTTTTGGGGAAAGCCTTGATTCAAGCAAAAAATGGTTTAATTAAGTGTGAAGAAAGATTTAAAGGCGTAGGCAGCGGCGTAGTTGTCGGTTCCAAACTTCATCTAGAAAAAGGCAAGCGCCATTTCAATGGCGACGCGTGTTATGGATTTGATTACTTTCATGTGCGGCATATGAGGACCCTTATCTTGGTGTCCTACTTTCATATGACTTGCTTACCAACACCTCTCCACCCAAACCTAATTTTCAAAATTCTGCCTTGGCCTTTTGCATGACACGTGATTTTTTTCCAATACCTTGGCTTAATATTTTTAGGCACATAAATGTTGAGAATAAAGAAAAAGACAAAAGCATGTTTTTGTGGTTAGCATTAATCGTCTACAGGTTAAGTGTAAACACTTTACTCAATTAATATGAAAGGAAGAAACGTGGAAGGGGAAACAGTTTCTGATTCAATGACTTGTAGTTGCAGGTTAATTTTTTATATGAAATATTTTTGCCATTTTCAATACAAAAAAGTAACGTATTGTATTTGTATATTTATTTACACATGACGATTCATGGAAAACCGAAAACATCATTTTCAATTCCTTGTAGAAATATATGTTTCCTAAAGATCTTATGGAATCTGATGTCAAGTCTCTGGAATATATCAGAGCTAACCTGTCAATCAGTCAATATATTGATGGGAAAATCAGTTAAATAAATAGAAGTAGGTTGAATTTCAGCATTGATAATAGTGAAAAATACATTGCTAAAAAAATGAATTTGCTCGGTCAAGTATTGCCGCAGTGGTGGGGATTACTGTGGGTCACTGACCTTTTTTTCTTCCAATCGTGCGCCGCCGCCTTGCAGACTTTTATGGGCAGCTTGGCTGCAAAGCCCATGCTAAGTACAAGAACAAGCAGGGAAAGCCCCAAAAAGCCCCGACAGCAAATCGAAATCCCACTTAACTGCACCGCACTTAACCTCACACGAGCCTGCCCCACGAACTACCCGACAGCCATCGAGGAAGAACCCGACAGTTCACTAAATGCCACGTGTCCATATTACTTCCGTTGGATCCACGAGGATTTAAGGCCGTGGGCCTACACGGGGATCACTATGGACATGGTGAAGAGAGCCAAGAAAACGGCAAATTTCAGATTGGTTGTGGTAAACGGGAGGGCTTACGTGGAGAGATATCGAAGGTCGTTTCAGACAAGAGATGTTTTTACGCTGTGGGGGATCCTACAGTTGTTAAGGAGGTATCCAGGAAAAGTGCCCGATTTAGATCTTATGTTTGATTGTGTTGACTGGCCAGTGATCAAAACAAGCGACTATGGTGGGCCCAATGCCACGACCCCACCTCCCTTGTTTCGTTACTGCAAGGATGACGAAACGCTAGACATCGTTTTCCCGGACTGGTCCTTCTGGGGATGGTTAGACCGTTTTTAACTTTCCTTTTCCTTGCAAAATGATATAAATTTACTTTTTATAAGAAAACACATGTTTCCTTTTCTTTTGTTCTTTAAGTTGAAGAGCCAACTTTTTACATAGAACACATTATAATGGTATATCAGGCCTGAGATCAACATAAAGCCATGGGTGCCCTTGTTAAATGACCTAATGGAAGGCAACAAAAGAATGGGATGGGAAGGAAGGGAACCTCATGCTTACTGGAAAGGGAATCCCAATGTTGCCACCACCAGGCAAGACCTCCTTAAATGCAACGTTTCAGATAAACAGGACTGGGGTGCTCGTGTCTATGCCCAGGTGATCATTATCCCTATCGTTCACTTTAATTTCATTGGACAATATATTTGCTCACTACCCTTACACAGTATATAGTAGGAATCCCTCTGCAGTTATTCTAAAACTAGGAAACCTTTTGCAGGATTGGGGGCGAGAATCACAGCAAGGGTACAAGCAGTCAGACCTGGCAAACCAATGCATACACAGGTTAAAGATCAATTTTTTTCAACTTTTATATTTTATATAAATTTGCATTCTTTCTTTCGAAATGTTTCTTGGAACTTTTTTTCTATCTGAATGCATATTCTTGCAGGTTCAAGATCTACATTGAAGGGTCGGCATGGTCTGTCAGTGAAAAGTACATTCTTGCTTGTGATTCTCTTACCTTACTTGTAAAACCTCGCTACTATGATTTTTTCACCAGAAGTTTGGAGCCAATGCATCATTATTGGCCCATTAAGGACGATGACAAGTGCAGATCTATTAAGCATGCTGTTGACTGGGGCAACGGCCATCAGCAAGAGGTAATCTTGTTTGATTGTGTATTCTATTAAAGCACCTTGTTCTGCTCTGCCTTCATAACATGGGAAGTTCTTGCTCACTAACCTGAGAGCTGTAGTAGCGTTCAAGTTCCTTAATTGTCACTTGTCAGATTACGTGAGAAACGCAAAACTACAACTTATATAATTCTCCCAAAAATTTGAAATGATCCGAATTATTTTTGTGTTGCTTCATTTTCTAACTGTCTTCCCTGATTTGTTTGATCAGGCGCAGGCCATAGGAAAGGCAGCAAGCGAGTTTATTAAAGAGGAGTTGAAGATGGACTACGTGTATGATTATATGTTTCATCTCTTAAATGAGTATGCTAAACTCTTGAGATATAAGCCCACCGTACCTAGAAAAGCCGTTGAGCTCTGTTCAGAAACAATGGCTTGTCCGGTGGAAGGATTGCAGAAGAAGTTCATGATGGAATCGATGGTGAAGGGTCCCTCCGTTACAAGCCCATGCACCATGCCTCCACCTTACGATCCAGCATCTCTTTATGCCTTGCTTAGTAAAAAGGAAAATTCAATAAAGCAAGTAGAGGAATGGGAGAAGAAATTTTGGGAAAAGCAAACGTAAGCAGTCCAAGAAAGGATATTCTTTCATACTTAATACAAACCAGAGCCAGAATGTATTCTTGCACCAAAGCTCGGTTAATTTCATGTATGGTCCTTCTTTCGTACTAAAATTAACAGGAAAAACATTAATAACAAAACAATGTATCGTTATCAATAATATAGCATATTTCAGATTTTTTTTTTCTGGTGGTGTTGGGCTCAATCATCAACTTTTATGAAGATTATGAAATTTCTGGTGGTAATATAACCAAAAAGAAAGAAATTTCCGGAGACCCAAGGAACTCACGTGACATTGGCTTTATGTTTTTGCATCAGTGTAGCTAAGAACAAGTAATAAAAACTGAATGCCACTTTTCATATTGAAATCGACCATATATATCACACAATATGGAACAAAGTTACGATACCAAAAGCATTAATACTACTAGATTCTAATTGCAAACTGAAATTCTTGCAACATAAATGCAATTATTTTCATAGATATTAATACCTGATAATTATTGCTCTTTTCACTCATCTGTGCGGTTTCCCTTGATCAAGTTTTTGACACTTGCCATCTTTAATGCTACAAGCACAAGTACCCAATCTTTGCACTTGTCCACGAACAAGAAATAAGCATGTCGCCAACTTTTCTTGAATATCAAGGCCGCAACAACACCCCAGAACCCAGTTGCATAGCCAGACATTATGACAATGTAAAACCACATCTTCTCAGCAGGGTTGTGTTTGGCATTGCCTTTTTTGCCTTGATGATGCTCATCATCCCAGCATTTCTTTAGTGGAGGGCCACAGAGCAGAGGGTTCCCAGCATAAATGAATGGATCGTCAAGAGTTTGGAGTTGATTGCCTTCTGGAATTTTTCCTGAGAAGTTGTTGTATGACAAGTTGAGGTAACTAAGTTTTGTTAGAGATGACACACTACCAGGAATCATGCCAGAAAGTTCATTGAAAGACAAGTCGAGTGATTCCAACGACTCAAGTTCCCCTATCTTATTAGGGAACTTTCCTGAAAACTGATTATGAGACAAATTCAGACCAATTAATCCTGTGAGGAGTGTAAGCTCTCCTGGGATTGATCCCTCCAGTTTATTGCTTGACAGGTCCATACTAACCAAAAACCGTAAAGTTTTTGTGTATTCCAAGGATCTTCCTTTGATGACCTCTGTTAAGTGCTCATTGTCCCACTGTGCCGAAATAGAAACGGCATAGCCCCATAAATCACCGACATCTGTCTTGACCATACCAATGAAATCGCCGAAGCAATAAGGTATCCTCCCCTTCAGATTGTTCTCTGCAAGATCCAGGATTTGTAGAGTAGATATTTGGCAGAGTAGAGGAGGGATGGTTCCGCTGAATTTATTTTTTCGTAGTCTGAGAACGCTTAGCTGCCATAAGCCATCCCCAATCCATTTAGGTACATGTCCAGATAACGCATTCTCACCTAGATCCAAAACTACAAGATCTCTGCAGTTTTTTAAGGCCAATGGTGGCTCCCCGCTGAGATTATTGTTGCTCAAGTGCAACCATTGCAGTGAGTTAAGATGCCCAATTGAGCTGGGGATAGCCCCTGAGAGATTGTTAGATGATAGATCTAAAACTTGTAAGGATTGATAATCTCTCCAGCAGTCAGGAATATTCGCAGATAACTTATTTTTTGAGAGTTGTAGAACTTCTAGGGTTTCTATGTGGCAAAATGAGTTCGGAATTGAGCCGTTTACTCTGTTATCAGAAAGAACAAGAATATGCAACTTAGGCAAAACATTATTATCGCCAATCATTTCGGTAAGGGTCCCGGAGATCAAGTTATTGGAGAGATCGATGGTCATTAAGTTGGAAGACAATTTCGGAATGGATCCAGTAATCTGGTTGTGAGAGAGGTCCAGTAGAGAAAGATTCAACTCCTTGATCCATTTTGGCAGGATACCCGAGATGCTATTGTTGGAAAGAACTAGTGTAGTTGCTTTCAATTGTGTTCGAAGCCATTGAGGAAATTGTGTTCCGAATTTGCAGGACCCCATTTCAATGTATTCCAGTTGAAAAGGAGGGACCCAGTTGGATTTTATCTTGATAGTCAAACTGTTGGAGCTAATGGACAACACTTTCAACTTTGAGAGCGTAGCAAAGTGGACTTCGGAAATGGCACCTTCCAATGAATTGTAAGAAAGATCTAAAGTGTCGAGGTTGCAAAGTTGCCCAAGACTTTCTGAGATGACCCCGTTCAATTGATTGCCAGAAAGATCTAAAGTCTTGAGGCTGGAAAGTTGCCCAAGACTTTCTGGGATTGTCCCATTCAATTGATTGCCAGAAAGATGAAGGTGTTTTAGGTGTTTTAGCATCCCCAACCGTTCTGGTATATGGCCACTGATCATACTATTATCTAAATTTAACGTCTCTAAATCATGTCCAACACATCCAGACACATTTCCATATATTCCTATTATCTCATCCTGAAATTGATTGAATGACAAATCTAATGACTTTAAGTAGCACATATTTCCTAAGATCAATGCCAACCCTTTTTTAGTGCTACTAAAATCATTCCCTGCAAGATTGAGATGAATAAGGTTCTTAAAATTTCCAAACCAGTTTGGAATTGAAGAATTAAAACGGTTATAGCTAAGATCAAGGACTCTCAAAGAAGTCATGTTTTGGAGCGCAATAGGAACTGGACCTCCCAAATCGTTATCTCTAAGATCTAGACGCTGAAGGCTACCATGAAATGTAGAATTAATTGGAAGCCGAGAGAAATGAAAATTATGAATCCCGCAATGCGACAAATGTAATGACTGCAAGGAAGGAAGCATGTTGAGTACCTGAAATAGGTTTCGTGCCTCACCAAGATGTATACCTGCCATACCAAGTTGCTGCAAGGATGCCAGATGAGAAATCCATTGAACATGATCTAACCCCAATGTCGATCCTCGATGTTCTGTACTAAGATCAAGAACACGTAAACTAGTAAGGTTTCCAAGATTCCGAGGAACACTTCCCCTGAAGCCGGCGTCGGAGATGTTAAGGTACCTCAGCTGTTTCATCAAACCGAAGAATTGCGGGATGGCGCTATCTTGGAAGTCATTTCCACTCAAGTCCAGGTATTTCAAATATCTCAACTCAGTAATATAAGAATTTACCTCAGGGGCCCGTAAGGAACTTCCGTTAACAAACCATGACGTTGACCCTGCTCTGAGGTTAAGCTTGACAACATGCCCATTGTTTTCATCGCAGCTTACTCCTTTCCACATGCAACAGTTTTTGCCTTTCCAAGAAGATAGGCAATGGGAAGAGTCTGAGAAACTCTCTTTCAGTTTTAGGAGAGCTTGCCTTTCGCCCTGTAGGCAACTGAAGCTTGCATTTTGGCATGAACAGAGCAGTGCGATTTCAGTGAACAAGGTAAGCAGAAGGAGCATAGCATTGAAAAGTTTATCCATGCTTGAGAAGTGATTCTAAAATGGATCAGAGAGAGAAAGCCTAGCATTGAAAGTTTTATCCATGCTTAAATGACAAGTGAACTTAAAATACATCAAAAAGAAAGAGAAGAGGCACCATGTTGCTCAGAAATTACTCAGTAGATCAGATCATCATCATTATAAATCTAGTGGGCCTTGACTTCCTAGACGAACAAATTTAGTTTGACTCCGCTGTTGCATTTTCTTAGATGCTACGTTCTGATAGTAGACCATGGGACAAATGGCACCTCTTTAATGAGGACTATTGGCGATATTGCTATAATCCGCACACTACAAGTAGGAAATTCCTTTGCGGACGAGCTTGCCAAATACGGAGTTGACCTAGACTCTATGTTCTTTGCATAGTGTTCCTCCTTGCTTTTGAAAGGGTTCCTCGGCTCTGCCATATTTGAAGCAGGATTGAGTTTTCCTTGCTATATTTTATGTAGTAGCACTGGCATATTTATTCCAAAAGCAACAAGGTGATCTCAAGTCTACGAATCTTAACGGATGACGCTCAGCCGTGCCCTTACTCTGTATTCTTCAGTAACTACTTTCAACTAAGAAAAAAACGATCGGTTGACATGGTTTTTATGGTTTGAATGGAGAGAATATTATGATACAAACTTTTTTTTTTAATTCTATTATAATAAAACTAGGTTTCTTTCTCTCTAAAGCATTAATTATTTTGGGAAGAGCTTGATTACATTTTTCATCTCTTTAAATGTGTATGCTGAGCTTTTGAGTTTTGGGATTGCAGCACACCAGTAACTTAGGAACGCTGTTGAATTGTGTTCATAAACAAAAGCTTGTCCAGGGGATTGAAGGCTAGGATTCATTGCAGAATCCAAAACATGAACAAAAATGAGAAAGGAAAATCCCCCATCCTCCTTTTCTTTTCCTTTCATTTTTTTTTTTGGCTAGGAAAATGAAATACTGTTACCATGCAATGAAGACAATTATGCTTTTTTGGCAGTTCTCATGAGTAATGAAATTAAAATCAAAGACAGATTTATAGTGCAAATTAACTAAATTCTTGCAACATTAATACCAGAAATTTCATTTTATTCATGCACAAAGAAATTTCTGGAGATCCAAGGAACTCATGTGACATCAGCATTATGTTAGTGCATCAATGTTACCAAGGACAAGTAATAAAAACTGAATGCCACTTTATCAAATTGAAAACCATCATAATGCATTTATTACTCAACAGGGAACAAAGTTAGAATAGTAAAAACAATACTACTAGATTGAGATTCTAAGTGCAAAGTGAAATTCTTGCAACATGAAGGCAATTATTTTTAAATACCTGATAATCATTGCTCTTTTCACTCATTTGTGCGGTTTCCCTCGATCATGTTTTTGACACTTGCCATCTTTAATGTTACATGCACAAGTACCCAATCTTTGGACCTGTCTACCAACAGGAAATAGGCATGTCTCCAACTTTTTTTGAATATTTAGACCCCAACAACTCCCCAGTTGAGGAATAACACTTGCATGGTGGCAGCAAGTAGATGTTATTATAACACATTGTCCTCTGTTTTGATTTAATTTGCTTTCTTGTACTAATAGTTAATATTAAGGTTATATTTGAGTTGTCTTTTGATGTGTTGGTTTGCATGTAAGCCAACACTTACAATTGTCAAATATATGTACAGGTGTCTTTGTGTAGATAAGGTATATAAACCTTGTTTTTTTTGTATTAATGAAACAATTTTCTAATCATTATCTCCAGTACATATGCACTGCGCTTTCTCTCTTCATAACATTAACATGGTATCAGAGCATTCTTAGGATCTTGTTGGACCTATAAATATCA